GTCAAATGTATTAAAAAAACAGCAATTACGCCCAATCAGTTACAGTGGACAGAAAAGACTACTTTTTGAGTCCTTCTTCGTTGGGATTCACCTATTTTTTTTCGAAATGACTGAAAACAACCTAAAAAGCAAGCCAAAATATTACATTTGTTACATTAGCTGACTTTGTATTCTGATATGATTTCTTATTCCTACTTTTAATTGTATTAGATTTAAAGGAAATGTAATGTCATTCCTGATGTCCGCAATATTTAGAATTCAAATGTAATGAGATTGTAATAAATTCATGATACTGTGGAAGTATTTAGAATTCAAATGTAATGATATTGTAATAAATTCATGATACTGTGGAAGTATTTAGAATTCAAATGTAATGAGATTGTAATAAATCCATGATACAAATGTATTTAGAATTCAAATGTAATGAGATTGTAATAAATTCATGATACTGTGGAAGTATTTAGAATTCAAATGTAATGAGATTGTAATAAATTCATGATATTTAGAATTCAAATGTAATGAGATTGTAATAAATCCATGATATTTAGAATTCAAATGTAATGAGATTGTAATAAATCCATGATATTTTGAATTCAAATGTAATGAGATTGTAATAAATTCATGATATTTAGAATTTAAATGTAATGAGATTGTAATAAATCCATGATACAAATGTATTTTGAATTCAAATGTAATGAGATTGTAATAAATCCATGATATTTTGAATTCAAATGTAATGAGATTGTAATAAATTCATGATATTTAGAATTCAAATGTAATGAGATTGTAATAAATTCATATTTTGCTGATAATGTGTATATTGATTGATGTGGTGGTAATCATCATTCAGCTTGTCAGAACAGAGTTGAATGCTGGGTAATATTTTCATATATAGTCAGCTCTTAGTAACATAAATATGTTAAGAATTTGTTAGTGGCATTGCCTATGTAAATTGTTACTGTACTTTAGTTGAAAGCCCCATTCTTTGTATGAAATAGCTTGAATTAAAGTGCATTCCTCTTATAGTACTTGGCTGATGTAAAAGAGAATTGCTGACATGTGTGTATTAGGACATAATAGCACTTGGTTAAGCTGTAGGGTGTTGAACATAAATATTGAAGAATTGGTGTTGACTGTTGTCAGACAAGTCTTATCAATATCTAGTAATTGTTTGTGAACAGTGCATAAGTGTGTTTAATCTTGTATGACTAAAATTTTCACAATTAAAAAAAAAATGCGAAAGTAGTTTGTTACAAAATGATTATATGTACATGTATATTGTATCGATTGAATGCTATGTGAAATATTCTCTAGGATTGTGGACAAAAAACATACAACTTTATCATTTTATTGTTCCCATGTGACACTAATGTTCAACTCATGTATGTAGCTAACAATTTACACATGATTTTCTATGAACACTGAGGTATTAATTAAACATTTCATTTATATTTTAAAGGACATGATTAAGCTTAAAACCTTTCATAAACATTGTTGGCTAATAGTAGTCGCATGTTGTTTGAAAAACAGTGAAAAAACTAATAACTATACTAATCTTCTAGGACCTAGAAATTAACAATTTTGAAAGTATATCATATTCATTGATTGTTTTACAAATCATTTGTAATAAAATAGTGTATTGGTGGAACCAAGCTGTGTCTACTGTTTACATACATCTCAACTACGCCTACTCCTGTAATCCTTCCGGCTGTGGCAGATGTCTCTTGTTTTTCTGTCTGTGTGTGTGTGTTCTGTGTAATATTCAATTGGTTCTGTATAGCAGTTTTGCAACCTACTTAACCTAAAATATGGATTTACACAGTGGTCAGTCTAACATGTGAGGTGCTTTTTCTGTCAAAACTGGAATTATAACCAATTTACAGTATGTGGTCATTTTACTAGCGTCTCACTTTCTGTCAACATCACCATAACATCTCTACCAATTGGTCATATTTGGGAAGGGATGACAGTAATATGAAAAATGTAGACAATTTTTAACAAATTTAGGAGGATTTGTTTGTTCATACATTTTCCATTGCTTGAAAGATATACATGTTATTTTTTAAAATTGTTTTGCTGTCCGAGCGAGGTCTTGTTTCATAGCATAATCATAAGCCACCAAAGAACCTCAAAATATCTAACTATTTTGAGTATTTTAAGATAACTATTACAAAATTATCTCTACTATATATCATCTTTAATTCAATAAATCAGCTTTATTTTACACTAATCATTAAGGGTAATTTTTTGTAATTACCTTATATCAAGTATTTATCTATGTACAGTGTATTGTTCTGTCATGTGGTGGATTTTGTCTCAGTTGCACTGTTTAATTTTAAACTAAATTCCAGTTTATTTTCCCAGTGGTATTGGATGCATAGAAGTAACCTACCTGTGTCAACTTTGTCATTTCAGAACTATAAAGCTGAGTAACTAAGCAGTCACCAAGTATCATTATGTACAGTGTGAATTGTACACTATATATGGTCACTAAGAATGGCAGATAGTACAGGCAGACCCAATGGTAGTCTATAAAAGGATTCTTATGCACGGTAAATTGTCTACTGTAAATGCATTATTTTTTCACTTGGTTTTAATTTCGGTACTTTTGCTGTAAAATCAGCTGAATTAGATGTGAACAATAAATAACATCAGATTTAAATAATTTTTTTGTTGACAAAAAGGGTATATTCACACAAGACATATCTGATATTATAAACTCTAATTAGAAATTCAAAACTTTCGGGCATTTTACAATTTTTCAAGCTAGTGTTATAGGAGATGATGAAGTCCCATGATTTCTAATGACTGCTCAGAACATCATGGCAATATCCAAATTACACATTAGAGACAGTAGTCTAGGATACCAATACCAAGCATATAGGATTTTACTGATATGGTTTCAACAGAATTGTTGTTGTACAGATATTTACAGATTATTTTTTGATTCAAATATTATAATGTCCTACCTAATATTTGGAAGCTTAATAGCTCAAATATCCACTGATCCTTATGTTCAAGGTCAATGATTCGGAATGCCCAACACTGGTTACATTATTGAATGTACTTGTAATAACTTTTATGTACACACACCTGCAGATAAAGTCTCTATTAGCTGGTGACTGTGGCTCACCAATTGGTTAGCTATATTCACATGTAGCTTAATCCAACCATATTTGCATGAATGAGTTGAGTTTACACAGTCTAGAAATCGATACAATTTTCAAAGGTTTGGCAGCGTGACTGCATTTGCTGTGTAGAAGGTTACAACAGTTTACATTTAATTATATATTTTATTTCGATATAGATTCTGAAAACAGACCAGATGGTGCCTCCACGCTACCGCCTCCATCAGCCACCAATACTGAAAGATGCGATTGCTGTCCATATGGATACCACATAGATCTAGATTTCTTGAAATTCTGTGACAATATTACCAGCGGGGCAAATCTAGCTAAGATCCGCAGTTTCCGAAGATCTCGTACAAGAACCCGGCGTACTCAGACACCGTCTCCAAGTGGACGGATTCCACCATCTATTCCTGTGAGATCTTCCTCATTGCCTGGAATTGGCAGATCCAGATTGTATTCCTCTTCTGACTCAGAATCAGATATTTATCCTGCAACTGACGATGAGACATTTGCACTTGCGTACAGCCACTTTGCCAACCAACTACAAAAGTTTTCTAGTGATGGAAATTTTGCTTGTGAACCACCAAGGGCTTTCAGAGAAGTATTTGATCCTGATGTAGATGTATCATCAGACACCCAAAGTCTTCCAGCATTTCCTGGGGATGTTGGTTTGTGTGATGTGGACAGTGACTATGGAAGATATCCGCGTAAACAAAGCCTTCCTATTGTACCATCAGTGCCTTCATACTTCAGTTCATCATCTTCTAATCCACCAGGATCATCAACCACCACCATCTCCCCACTTAGTCTTACTCTCAGCCACACCCATAGTGGTTCGGCTAGTTCTTTATCATCTAGCAGCTCAAGTCAGTTCTCTCCAATTCATACTATACAGTCCATAAATGGAGTCACTTCTCAACAGATTGCTTCCAATCTGGGATCATTCCTGCACCCTTCTCGTTATAGCCCAGCGCCATCTGGATCCTCAACACCATCATCAAGCCAGAGCCAGTCGACTCTATCTCATATCCGGGACCAGATGGCACTAAGTTTACAACGGCTGAGGGAACTTGAGGAACAAGTTAAAGCAATACCAGTTTTACATGTGAAAATTAATGTACTTAAAGAGGAGAAGAGACTTCTTACAATGCAAGTCAAATCTCGGAAAAATCGGCAACAGAAAACAATTGATGATCTTTACAATGTGAACAATGAACAGTCGTCAATGTCAAAAGTTGCCAAGGCAATCAACTGTCAATCAAAAGTAGCTTCAACTCAGGCTGATATTATATTATCTGATTTAAAAAAAGACTATGAGTCCGTAGGTGTACAAGTTAATATTAATGCAAATGCTAATAATACCAGTGATGTTTTGACCACTAAACAAAGTGTTGTATCCACAACTGTTAAAAGTATGAGAGAAATACAAACTCAACATAAAGCCCAATTTGTGGCACCAGCAATTGCTAAGGTGATGTGTGATACTGGGGTTGGATTTATTAACGTCAACAAAGTGGAGTGTGATAAATGTAGGAATAAAAATACTCAGAGCATTGGAATCGGGGATGGGGATATACGAGAAGAAATAAAGCCGAAACAAAGAAATGTGGGGTCGTCCACAGTGGATAAAGTAAAAAGACATTCCACTGTGGGAACCAACACAAAGCCCAAGGTGACTAGAGACAAAGCTATTGAAGTAAAGATATCCAATGTGACACAGGCAACCAATACTACTCCCCCATTACGAAAAGACAAGTCTACTATGGTTGTCATAGCAACCATGGATGAACACGCAGTTAACACAGATTTGACACATAAGGATATAACTGAAAAAAAGTGTACAAATGACATGTGGACAAACACAGATCGCATTTCACAACATGTGAAAGCTGTGAATACAGAAGTTGCTTCCAAGCGACTGGACTATCGGCAGATCAGGAAACCACCACGTCCTGTTAGACACACTGCTATGAATACCATAGAAATAAGTAAGCCGGATAAACTATTCAATGATTGTGGTGTTGGTACTGGCACTGTTAACAATTACGTCAATACAGGAATTAATCCGCTGGTGGTTTTGACCTGTGCAAAAGCTACAAATACCACACCTTGTATTTATCAATCTGTTGCTACCATTACAGAAAGAAATACTAAAGATGTCGGTGCCAATACTCTGCCCAAATTACCAGGTAAAAGTAAAGGTGTGTCTGCTAATATCAAAAACATGAATGATAAACATACGGAAACTGACTGGATTAGAATCAGCATTGCTACAAACACTCCTTGTAGAGTAACCAAGGACACTGGCACTCATCAGGACATTGCTATGACAACCAATATACTAAGTAATGATGTAATGACGAACTGGAAGGATATACAAGAACGAGGTCAGAAAACTGACTTTAAGGAATATTTTAATGTTGGTGTTACTGAAAAGTCACTTGATACTGTGAGAGATTTTAAGAGTGTTGCTGTTGGGGAGTCCAAGACAACAGATGTTTGTGATAAATGTGCTACTAAAAAAAACAGGACTATAGCAGTAGGAGTGTGTAGCATCAAGGATTCAATCTGTGATCGATGTACTAACATGAAAAGCAGAACAATTGGAGTTGGAAACTGTACTGTATCTGATAGTTTGTGCATGTCTTGCATTCAGACTAAATCAACCAGGACTATTGGTGCTGGATCATGTAGTGTCCATGATATACTTTGCTATAAGTGTGCTATGATGAACTGTGTCAATAAAGCAGTCGGTGATCAACAAATTACTGATGCTATTTGTAACGTTTGCAAAAAGCCACCGCAAAGACATATTGGTGTTGGAATCGGGGCTGTAAACGACGTGCTCTGTGACAAGTGCCAAGTTTTCAATTTTGTTAATCAGGCAGTTGGAGACTGTACCATAACTGACCGTCTTTGCGATCGGTGCGACACTCTCAAGATGGCAGATGCTGCTGTTGATTGTGCAGTTTTTATGGACCAATATAGATCAGTTGCCGTTGGCGATGGAAACGTTACTTTCAATGATGCATCAGTCAGTACTGATGTCATCACTATGGCCAATGTTGCTATGGAAACTGACCAGACTGTTAAAGTCAACACAGCCGTTGGAGACAATAATGTTAAGAATGATGCCATTGAAACCAGACCAGTATCCATGGTTACCACTGCCTCAGGACTAGAAGAAGTGGCACTCAGGAATGTTGGTTCAGGCACAGTGCCAGTTATTCACATTAGCTCAGGTGTTGGCAGTGGTAATGTACGTACTTCAACAGTTGGAGTCGGCAGTGAAAAATTACAAACAAATTCAGTGAATACTGCCACAGAGAAAATAAACGTTATTCATGCATCAGTTGATGCTTTCAAAATACCTGTTAAAAATCAAACAACAGAAACAAACCAGATCAAAACAACGTCAACTGGAGTCGGAAATAATACTGTGTTATCTTCTGCATCAACGTGCACTGATGCAATTGCTGTTATGACTTCAGCAACAGAAACTGAAAAGGTTAAAACTGTATCAGTTGGTGTCGGAAAAAGTCATGTTTATTTGTCAACCGGAATGTCAACTGATATTACACCTGTTAAAAATACTGGAATGGTGACTGATCATGTTAAAACCGTCAGTACTGGTGTTGGAGAAAAGTTTGTTTCACTGTTATCTGTTGGCATGACAACAGATAAAGTAGCATTGAAGTCATCATCGACTGAGACTGATTGTATCAAGACAACAAATACCGGTGTTGGGGAGAGGTCAGTTTTTATGTTGACAACTGGAACTTTGACTGATGTTGTTGAAAAACGAACTTTAGCAACAGAGACTAATTGTGTACAGACAGCAGATATAGGTATAGGAGAAAAGACAGCTATGACATCAGTAGGCATGGAAACTGATCAGATAGCAGTACGAACATTGTCAACTGAAACAGAACGAATTAATCTGATAAATACAGGTGTGGGAGGTAAGTCCGTGGACATGAAAACGACCAGCACAATAACTGATGCAGTACACACTGTTAGTGTAGGTGTTGGTCTAGAAGAAACTCTGAGTAAAAATAATGCTTCATCATCTACTGCCCAAACAGTGGAGACTAGTGCTGATAATGTGAATTCCATCTCTACCAGCAAACAGAATGTTGTCACACAAATACCACAAAACATCACAAATAATATTGCCACTCACCAAAAGGTTGCAGTTGGAACGGTTCAGATGCCCTCCCCTAGGAAGGTACCTCATTTAACTATGCAACCTTTGACTGCTGGTGCCCTGATGGAGAACAGGAATGTTACCATGGTAACAGAGAATGTCATCAAGACAACAGATGTTCGTTCAACTGCTTCATCACATCAAAATGTAGTCATCTCAGGGAATGGTGTGAACAGTGAACGTAAACAGAGTGATTATGAGTCGATTGAAGGATATAATGATCATAATGGATTTGAAAACAGACATGCATTATTGGGTAAGTCATCACTCAAAAAATGGTTTTGCTTAAAGTGCCTGTGCAATGCCCACCCTCACATTTTCCATTTTAGATCTGTGTCCCACTGAAATGGGCAGTTATTGATTTTTTTGCTGAAAATGATTACTCGTATCCAAGTAAATTTGGGATATTTCTCGTGTTGTAGCCACGCCTACTTATCCTGAAACGGTCGACTGTTTCCGGATTTCCGACTCTCGCCGAAAGTGCGCCACCAAATGACAAATATGTGAGAGGAAGTCATACCCTCGAGCCGTAATAACACTGGTCATTCAGTTTAGTTTTAAACGATATACATTTTTCGGTCGGCGTTTTATCTTCTTTTTTTTTGTCTATTTAATTTTTTTTTGAGAGAGAGTTTTTAGTTGTTGTGTTGTGTTGTGGGCAGTTGCAGTGAAACGTATAGTCATAGTGTATGTATTCACACGTTTCTAATCGATCCGAA